GCTCATTCTTTTTTTTTTTTTTAATTTTTAATTTTTTTTTTTGAGTTGGAGTCTCACTCTTGCCCAGGCTGGGGTGCAGTGGCACTCTCATGGCCACCCCCAGTGTCGACCTACTGGGTTCCAGCGATCCTTCCATCTCAGCCTTCCAAGTAGTCGGAACTACAGGCATGCACCACCATGCCTGGCTAATTTTTTTTAATTTTAAAATTTTATTTTAATGATGGGGGTACAATTCAGGATTAGGTATACAAGTAGCCATTGTACAGGTACAGTTTGGGCATCCTTTGGTCCCTACTTTGCCTGGTTTGAGATCAGGTACCCTTATTGATGTTGTGTCCCTCCCACCCCCACTCTGGCATTATCCCACTACTGCCAATCTCTTTCTTATATTATCAGACACGTTCTTTAAAGAAGTAATTAGTTAAAATGAATTCATTACAATGAACCCTAACTCATTCTTATTTTATAACTGGTGTCTTTGAAAGAAAAGGAAATTTGGACAGACATATATGGAGGTAAGACCATGTGAATATGCAGGGAGAAGGTAGCCATCTACAAGCCAAGGAGATAGAGGCCTTGGAAGAAATCAACCCCGCTGACACGTTGATCTCAGACTTCTAGCCTCCAGAACTGTGAGAAAACAAATTTCTGAGTTTCTAAAAAAAATTTTTAATTTTTAATTTTGAAGATGTGGGGTACAATTCAGGGTTAGGTATACAAATGTCCACTATGCAGGTACTGTTGATGAGGTATGACCCCCCACAGTAGCGGCATTTCCCACTACTGCCAATCCCTGCCCCCCACATTCAATTTCTGTTAAGACCTCTGGTCCAAGATACTTTGTTATGGCAGCTCTAGCAGACTAATACAGATGAAATGTTACTCAGTAATAAAAAGAAACAAACTACTGAAACTACTGATTCACACGACAACATGGATGATGTCAAAAGCATATACTAAATGAGTGAAATATGTCAGAAATACCATATGAAATTCTTAGAAAGGCAAAACTATAGTTATCAGGAGTGAGGGGGAGAGAACTGAACGCAGTGGGGCAGGAGGAAATTTGGGGGTGATGAAAATGTTCTATCTCATGATTGTAGTACTGGTTACATGACAGCATACTTTTGCCAAAATTCGTCATATTGTATACTTAAAATTGGAGAACAAAGCTGTATATAAATTATGCTTCAATAAACCTGATCCCCAAAAGCACTGGATTTCAGGGAGATGAGAAGGTAGAAATGAATACAGATGCTGAGAGCATGCTCCTAACTGAGGTATGCGGGTATGAAGGATGGTGGTGGCTGACGGAGGGAGAAAATGGGCTGACACAAAGCTCCAGAGGCAGCAGGATGTGGTGCTGGCCAGTGGGGCTGTCATAGGCTATATGGCTTTGGTGTGGGGGCATCAACCAGCAAGAGGAGGGGAAGGTCTGAGGTTGGCACAGGCCCTTCTGAGGGTATATTTCAAGGCCACTAGGAGAAGCCCATGTCCGGTGTGTCTTCATTCTGCAGGAAAGGAAACAAAAGGCTCAGGGTGTGTGTAGGAATCAGATGTTACTGCAGTAATGAAACTAGTAGAGAAGTTAGGACATAGGCTTACTGCAATCCCAGCACTCTGGCAGGCTGTGGCAGGAAGACTGCTTGAGCCCAGGAGTTCAAGATCAGCCTGGATAACATAGCAAGACCTTGTCTCTACACACACACACACAAATAGCCAGGCATGGTAGCACATTCCCATAATCCCAGCTATTTGGGAGGCAGAGGCATAGGATCATCTGAGCCCAGGAGGCTGAGGCTGCCCCTCTCCGTGAAAAAAAAAGAGAGAAAAGTTAGAATAAGCCAAAAAAAGTGTCCCAGGAGTCCAGAAAACTTGAACCATGAGTGTGAATAAGATTGTCAAGAAAGAATGCCGAAGGCAAAGTGTACTTAGGAGGGGGGACCAGTTATTCAAAGATCTAACAAGTTGGCATCTTAGGAATAACCCAGGTACACAAGAAGAACACTACCACCTTGAGACATGCACACACATTTTGTGCTGAACCAGTTGAAGGTAAGTTGGAGATGACACAATGCCCAACCCTACATTATTAAGCTTATATCACTCCTACGGGTATTCTTTTACATAATCACCACAGTATTATCACACCCAAGAAATTTACTATTGATACAGTATTGAAATACAACCCATTTTCAAATGTCCCAACTGCCTTTTACAGATTTTTTTTTTTTGGATCTAAGCCCCAATCAAGGATCATGCATTGTATTTGACTGTCATGCCTTCTGAATGTTTCATAAAACTACAGAGCATTCTAGTACACTACAAGATGTGAGGTATAGCTCACAATACACATTTTACAATTCTTTTTCTGTCTGTCATCAGCCCTCACCGCCTTTGAGAGGGAGAGTAACAAAATCACAAAATCCTAAAAAAACAAGAACAAAAACAAAGGATCATCAACCTTCCACACCTCTCATTCTACTGTACTCTCCTTGTCAACTGCAGCCTTTTGAACACCACCATGGGGTGGGGTGATTTAGGTGGAAGAACAAAATGGGGAGCGAAATCCAAAGTCTGTGGAAGGAGGGACTTGGGTTCCACTTAGCAGCAGAAGTGGCCCCAGGGCCAATTTCTCATGAGCCCGCCAGTTCTCTAAGCCTCCGGGTCTCTCCATGAAGGCCCCACATCAGGGGCCCAGTAGGAGTAAGCACACAGGGACATGTCCCCCACTGCCACTCTTACTCCAGTGCTGTAGTGCAGACCTTCTTCGGTTGTTCCACATGCCTCTGCCTGATTCTATCTTAGTAAACTCCCCCAAACAAGGACCAACCACTGCAAACATCCCCTGGGTCTGCACCAACTCCCTGCCAACATGTGGAGATAATGAAGCAACCTCATATAAGCTGTCACTGACTTGTTCAGTTTCCAGTAAAAACACATCTCAGAGCTCCCAGAACAGTGCTGGGCACACAGGTCCCGGCAAGCGACCCAATGAATCAGGCTGGAAGGGTATTCGAAAGAGTACATCTTGAGCACACCTGGGGAGACATGCGGACTCTAAAATTGGAGCTGTTCCCACTGGAGCAGTTCCCCAGGTGAAGAGCCAGGGCTAGGGAAGAAATGTACCAACCCTAATAAAGAAGAAAGAAAACACAATCACTCACCTCATATCTGGCTTCCAGAAGATCCCAGTCGGCTATATCCTCTGGATTGCCTTTGAGGGAAAGAGCAGGATCCTGAGAGGAAAAAGCTGGGGAAGGAGAAATGTGTTAAGAGGGTTGTTCTGCCCACAGTTGCCAGGTAGGCTGAACTGAAGCCCACCCACTCGGCAGAGACAACGACCAGGGGAGGCAGGAACCACCCTGGCAGGTAGGAAACCAGCCCAACAGCCAGCACAATCTGATACGGCATCAAGGGATCCTGCCTCTGTGTCCCAGACACCCCAATTCTGGAGGACACACGCTGCCATTCCCTTCCTCCCATCAACGTGTGTGAGTGGGAAAAAATGATGCCCACGGTGAAGAGGCCAGATCTGCTGGATACTTCTGGGAAACTAGCCTGACCCCTCTGAGTGTCAGTATCCTCAAGCGCAAATCCACAGACATGCTGACTAAAAGAGCGCGACCGTACCTGTCCCCTCGGGCTTCGGGATCTCCATGGCCCCCTCGGCGGTGGCGTCCCTGCAGGAGTGGGCAGCTCCGTAGCCTCCCGCGCCCAGAGGAGCCTCGTGGGTCGCCACGAACTCGCAGCTGCACGATCACACGCACGGAGCCCCGGCCCTGCGCGCAGCTGAGGTCGGGCTCAGGGAGGCTCCGCAACACCCCATGCCACACGTTGGGCTCACCCACGTTCCTATCACACGTACGTCCCAGTACACCCGTCACACACTCCTCAAGAGAACGCGCGCTCAGGGACCAGGAACAGGCCTCGGGTTCGCGGCCCGGAGCCGGCGGGCACGGAGCTCGGCCAGCAGACAGGTCTCGCAACGGCTGATGAAACCGAGAAACGGTAGGATACACAAGCGAGTGAGCGAACCAGCCTCCCACAAAAGGACCCCAAGTGCCACAAAGAGAAGCTCGGCGACCACTCTGGGAAAGTGCGCCTGCGTGAAACAGGCGCGAACTACAGCTCCCGGAAGCCTTTGCACCGCGCACGCATCGGACTCCCTTTCCCAGAAGGCGCCGGGCCGGGGCTGTCCTGGAGTCCCGACCGGTCCGAGTATGTAGCACAGCCGTCTGGGAAATGTAGTTCCAGGGCTGGAAGCCGGAACCTCTATTCCCTCCATGCTTCTAGCTGCAGGAGGCGCTGTGTATCTCGTTGTGGGGGCTAGTGCCGGCCTGTTGCATGGCTGTCTATTTGCGGGGATATGGGGAGGGCGGTGCCCAGGAACTTGAAATTGTCCTGTTAGTTCGTTCACGTCTCCAGGTGGAGTTCAGTGGTCTCTTGTCCACATCTGTTTGCAGAAAAGCTTCAGGCCCTTGGCGCTAGTGATGCTTCCCAGAGGCCCTGTCCCAGCCGCCTCTTCTGGAATCTGACACTTGAGGTCCACAGGAGAGGCCCCTAGGGTTGGGAGGGCCCCAGGCCTACTCTCTGATAGGCCATGTCGCCCTGACTGTAGTTCACCCTCAGGTGCTAGGGCAGGAGGGTGTGGGTGGTGGTCTAGTGCTCTATCATTAACACAGTGATTATGTTATGCAGATCCAACAATCCGCTACTTCCCTCATGGTCAGTCAAATTCAAGCTGCAGAAAGCTGGGAGAAGTAAGGAGTTTTATTCTGATAACATGGGATCAGGAATAGGATGTGTATCCACCAAAAATCTGTTCATAATTTCCATCTAATATTTATAATAAAACAGTTACTTATTTTCCCCCACTATAGATTAATAATGACTATGTGTCTTATGACTATTACTCAGTTTCTTTCTTTATTTCTTCTTCTTTTTCAAAGCAGGATTTATTGAGAGGACAGAAAAGCTCTCAAAGTGGAAGGGGACCTGAGGGATTGCTCTCGGTTTCTTTCTTTATTAGTGTTTGGATCCCAAACAGTTACTGTCACAAACCAGTGCTCAGATTATATAAATCCTGCTATTCTTCTGAGTTACAATTACCTTGAACAATTTGGGGCTGTGTATTTCCTGGTTGGTTACAGTTTTTTTTTTTTTTTTGCTTATTCTGGGAGTTCTGGCTCACAAGGCTTGATTAAATATTATATATAAAATGGATGCAAAGACATGAATAAAAGCAGTTGTCATCTAAAAAATGAGGGGACAGATAAATTTCTGGGCTTTAGAAAGTTTCAGCAGAGCCCATTTCTTATCTAGGTCCAGCGGAGGCTTTTCCAGGGATGTGCTGTTTTCTTGTGTGTGTCTCTTGCTTATCAGGGATGTCAACGAAGATGGTTGTGTTCCTTTCAGTAGCAGCAACAGTTACTAGATCCAAGGACAGTGAAGTGGGGACAAGGAAAAATGTTTACTTTTAAGTCCAAATGGTTTCTATGTTTAGCCCAACTCAGCTTAATACAAGTTTCTAAGTCTTTTCTAAATGACTGTTTTAAGATAATCAAAATGGCCTCATTTCAGCCTGTAACAATAATGTCAACAACAGTAATAGTGATGATGTCAGCATTCCAGGCATGCGTTCAAGAAGCTGGCATCTATTTTCTGGCAGAATGTTTGCAGCAATCCAGGGGGTTTGATAACTATTATACTCCCACTTGAGAGATGAGGAATCGGTGGCACAGTTCACTGGTGTAATCGTCCCAAGTTTCACAACCAGAAGGAGGCTAAGTAATCCCAGAACCAAAGTGAAATACCAGGTTCCTACTGAGAGTTGGTATAGGATGGGGCAGGATGGAGCTGACTCTAAACCCTTCAGAATCTCAGCTTTACCCCAGTTTAGGCTTAGCTACTGGCTCTCCCATGACAACTGGGTCCACTGTTCACATCAGCATAGTTGTGCCCAGATCTCCCCTGCCAAGTCTAATACCTATGTTAAATAGCACCCTGGCCAGAGTTTTGTGACTCTGTGTATACATGCACCCATGCACAGTTGATAGTGAGTCTTTATGTGGTTGTTATCTCACAGTTCTGGTGTAGGTCTGCATGTGCTTTTGTTCAGACTTCTGACTATGGAAGTGTGATGTGTGTGCACCCAAGTGCTTGCTGATGAGCCTGAGATTCTGTATGTTTTGGAATATGGCTATTGACTGCTAGGTGTGGTTTGAGTCTTTATATGTATGTGCTCATGTCTGTGTGACTGCATGTGCATTGCGCATGTGCACCTCTATGTGTTCATCAATATGGGAATGTTTCTGGATGGTTCATAGTATCATCTATGTCTGATTACCCAAGTGTGTTTTGTGTGACAGTGTGCATATGTCTTGTATAGGTGAATGTGTACAGGTTTTGTATAGGTGAATCTATAGTCCCATGTGTGTGTGACTATTCTCCCAAAATTCTGGCTTTTGTGTGGATGGGTGTGTGCCTTCTCATTTTGTGAGACTAGAGATCTCACAGGTCCAGTTGTGTGTGTGTTCATATGTCTGTACATATTCCTCTGTATATCTGTGTGTGTGTTTGTTGACTCACAGGGCTCATCAGTGTGTGCGTCTTTGTGTTTGTACATCTGGGTACTTGTGTATGTCACAGTGGGTCTCATGGATTTTGTGTGTCTGTATATAAACCAATACAATCCAGGGATTCTATATTGAGAACTTGAAAGAAACCAGAACATAAGCTGACAAGGTCCTTATGTTCTTGGCTTGTGTTCAGGGAATCAAGCCTATAATTGCTTCATCTCCCCTCAGATTTGGCTGTTATTCTGCGGACCTCGACCATGCCTAGCCTGGAGGCTACCTTAAGGGATTACCTTGCTTAGCATAAATGTTAAAATATGCACAGTTTAGTCATTGATACTTACCCTGCTTGTGTGACTTCATCCAGATATTAACATGCAACTTCCTTGTGTGATCTTTATCCGATATAAGAGGCATGTGGTAAAATAAATTTGCTCTCTCTTGCTTTCTCTGGCTCACAGATACCTGAGGGGGAGCCCTCCCAATCCCGCTGTTTCTCTGTCTCTTTCTTTTCTCATTCCCTACCCCCAACTCAGGCCCTACTCAGTGGAGGCTGGACCCCCACAAGAACTCTGTCCACCAGTGTCTCTGTCTGGGTAACAAGGCTAGGGTCAGGGATGTGTTCAGTCAGAAAGGAGGAAGAGGATGGGAAGATACTGGAAGATTCTTTTCTTGCTTTCTGTTGACTGTAGAATTCTGGGGCTGGGAAATGCAGTTAAATAAAGAGTATTTAGCTTAAGATTCTTACTTAGATCAAGAGAAGTCCCAGGTTATTTCTGATTCCCGAGTTCTCCATCCATGCAAAATCTTTTTGACTAGCAAGGCTGTGTGAAGCCCCAAAGCCATGTGGGTATAGATGTCATTCTAAAAGCAAAAATAATTTTTTTAAATGGAAGATTTTAAAGACAAAAATAATGTCTTACTACAGTATATGTTTGGTGTTACAACCTAAAAAATATTTTTAACACCTGTACCAATAATCATGAAATAGCCTGTATCAGACAAATGCTCTTGCCAGTAACAATTTTAAACTTGCACAGAGAAATAGATCTCAAGCAGAAAGAAATAGTATTAATGTTCTAATGTACAGAGGTCAGAGTCTGGGGCACTCAGAGTGGTTCTAAATTGAGAGGTAATATCCAAAAACAAACAGCCAAATAGGGGTAAGCCTCAAAATCTGCATAAAAATTCCTCTCAAATCCCTGGGTGCCTCCTAAACAGACCCCATGACAAGACTTCAAGAAACCCAAGGGAAAGCATTAGTTGAAAGCTAAAAATCTGAGTGGGGATTTCAGCAGAATCTGGCATTCAAATCTATCAAGGGATTTCTTAAATACCTCATACTTTCCACTGGAACCCCCAAAGGCTCATGCCTTATAGGTAAAGACTACAACTCAAGACTGATGGCCACATCCTAAGACTAAAGGCAAAGCTAAAATGGACCTACCTTAAAAAGTATAAAATGAAGCTTCCATAGGATCAAGGTAAACAATTTAACTGCCTGCCTGAAAGAAACTCGAGACTCTTTTGAGGAACTCAGAATTTAGAATTTCTTTAAAATATCATGTACAATGGCAAATAGAAAATAGAAAAACCGGCCGGGCTTGGTGGCTCAGCCTGTAACCCCAGAAATTTGGGAGGCTGAGATAAGTGGATTGCCTGAGCCTGTGGGTTTGAGATCCACCTGGGCGACTTGGCGAGACCTCATCTCTACAATAAATCAAAAATTAGCCGGGCATGTTAGCACACACCTGTAGTTCTGGCTATTTGGAAGGCTGAGGCAGAAGGATTGCTGGAGCCTAGTGGGTTGATGCTGGGGTGGCCATGAGCATGCCACTGCATTCCAGCCTGGGCAACGGACTGAGACTCCAACTCAAAAATAAAATAAAATAAAATAAAAATAAATAGGAAAGCAGGAAAATATGACCCATAATCAAGACAAAAATCTGTGTAAACAAACCTATAGATTATTCAAATGATGGAATTAACAAAGTGTTTAAGACAACTTTTATAAGTATATTAAGGAATTTGTAACAAAAGGTGGGCAAACAAGTGAATGAATAGGGAATCTCAGCAGAGAACTGGATCCTTAAAAAATAATCAAATTGAAAAATCTAGAATCAAATTGAAAACTAGCTTGGATTTATTCTCTCATAGTTCTGGTGACTAGAAGTCTGAGATCAAGGATTGGTTTCTTCTGAGGGTTATGAGGAAGAATCTGCTTCATGACTCTCCCATGGATTCAGATATACTGGATGTTAGGGCTTTAGTATATTAAGTTTTAGGGAACATACAATCCATAATACATGCTAACATAAGTAACATTTTAAATGAAGAAAAA